TTATCTTAAATAAAGGCTTAAAGTGGCCAAATCGTCTCAAATAAGGGCATGAAGTGGCCAAATCATCTAAAAAAATGACCTTTGGCTGGCCGGTGACTATTCCGTCACCGGAGAAGGAGTATTTTAGTCAAAAACCTTATAAGTATATATTTTTGTTTTTTTTACTTTCTTTTTCTTTTCCTTTTTCTTTTTTTCTTCTTCCCTCCCAGCCTTCACTGCGCCTAGCTAGCGTCGGGCGAGGGCCGCCCTCGCCTGGGCTAGCGAGGGTCGCCTTTGTCAACGTAGAGCGAGGGTCGCCTCGCCTGGGTTGGCCTTGCCCTCGTCCGATGCCGGTGATGGCAAACTTTGCGAGCCCAGGAGAGGGCGGCCTCCGCCGGCCCCGGTGATGGCCGGTGAAGGGAAGAGAGGAAAAAAAAATAAAGAAAAGGAAAAGGAAAAGAAAAAAAAACAGAAAAAGGGAAAAAAAATTCAAAAAAGTAAAAGACGAAAATACCCTTTGGCCGGTGAGGTCGGGTCCTTATTTGAGACTGAAATGGCCATTTCAAGCCCTTATTTGAGACAAGATTCACTTCAGACCCTTATTTGAGACAAAGTCCATTTCAGGCTTTTATTTGAGAAAATGACTCCACTTTGAATCCCTTTTTGGAATTTTCTGTTCTTAATTTGACCAACTTATCGGAAAGTTAAAAAATTCGACATACAATAATAGGAAAAACCTAAAGAACGAATTGATCAGAAGTTCGCTCTCGACATGGTTCGAACCTGTGATATGTTGGAAGATGATGCGACAATTCAAGTTCATTACAAAAGTTATAGTAATAGAACGGCAATCCTAATAAGAAAGCGCCTGTAGCTCAGTGGATAGAGCGTCTGTTTCCTAAGCAGAAAGTCGTAGGTTCGACCCCTACCTGGTGCGTCATTTCGTGAACATTTTAATTTTCCCTTCTTTTTTTTTTTATTTAAATTTTCACTCTAGTCTTCTTCAAGTATTGAAGAAATCTGCAATGCAACAACATGAAACAGCTGCTTCAATCTTGCCACTTGCATAATGATTGTTCATTCACCTGAACGGACTAAATCAGGAAAACGCATCACAGATGATGTGTTCGTCGTCCTGAGTCGTGTTCCTCGAGGATTAAGCGCCGATCGATGAACTTCTCCAATAGCATTCGGTTGATCGAATTCATCAACTCAGCAAAATATTGATCTCAACTTGTAAATTTCTCAGTCTCAAAGCAATTTACTGCAACATTTTTTTGCATTCGACTATCCTCCAAATTCGTATGACCGAAGTACCTCGAGTTTCATCCAACGAATACAATGCCCACGGGGTCAAGATCTTTCCCGCCTCAGGCCGCGGCTCCGACGGGCACCCCGGCCTTAAGCCTGGAATACCCGTACAGCATCTCCTCGAACCGGATGATCTCGTTCTTGGACCCGTAAGCGACTTGAGTCCGGTCATCCAGGTTTTCAATCACCTTGTCCAGGACGGACTGCTTGCCGTCGCTGCTGAAACCTCCAGCCTTCTCGATCAAGAAGCCAAGTGGAGCCACTTCGAATAGCAGCCTCAGCTTCGCCTTGGCTGATGGCGATGCCACATTTGTGAACACACCTTTCTCCTTCACAATAATCTGAGAAAATAAATGGGAAAAAAGATCAAATCTTTGAGACTGCAATTTTGGTGGCAATGAAACTGGATTAATTCACATTGCAGTGATCGAATCAAAGGATGAACCTGGCCGACATCTGGGACCATTCCTCCGGTGTATCTCAATGTGTATTTCTCTTTGACATAGTACTCAACTAGCTGTATTAAGCAAAACAAGGAGGAGTAAGTCCGCTTGTTATTAACATCTGGGGTCTTGAGTCTTGATGACCACAATCGGCACCAACCCGCATCACGAATTGCCGATACAGAGAGTTCTAACCTTGCCGTATTCAGGATTGTCGAATGTGGCTCTCAAGTTTCCAGGAGAGAACATCTTTCCTTCACCAATTTGGGTCGTGTCCTTCACATGTTGCCACTTTCCTGACAGCAATTACACTTGTTCAGGGGGACTTGAAATATTGGCAAATGAGTTAATGAAATGCTCGCAGAGTTCTAAAATTGTGATGATCAATAACCTTCGTCGAGGAGAAGGAACTCATGGGTCCCGGGGATGTCTTTGAGAGCGAGGACATATGTTGTTCGGGGCCCATAGATGCCCATGGCCGCAGCGACCTGATCTCTTCCCATGACCCCGGTTAACTTGTCTCCAGGCCAAACCCCAAAGATGGTTCCCACAGTGAAGTTCGTGTCGACGATGCTGGAACCATCGAGGGGATCGAAGGCGACACTGAATCCACCTGTTACAAATTCTCACAAGGTCATAAAAATGGTCGCGAATCAAACTTTACGGTAGGTCATTGTGAAGAGTGAGATTGACAGACCTTCGACTGGGCCTCCCATGTCTTGGAGCTCGGGGACTTCTTCAGAGCAGGCATATTTGCAGAAGTGTGAGTATTGCAGGGCCTATTAGTGAAATTCATGATATCATTCTCAATTGCAGAAGTATTGGAATATCTTGGCTAAAGGTCAAATCGATCAAGTTTAGACCGCGACAGCAAGCGAAGTGATCCTAAAAGAGCAGAGTAGGTAGAATCATTGCATCAAACATCTAAATAATTAAATATTTGCAGTTTTCTTGAAACAACTCCATTTATCTGATAAAGAGCTAGCTGCAAATTTTTGTCAAGTGGTATTATTTTTGTGCAGAGTATTTGATCTTTTTCATCTATAACCTTTCAAAACAGATTTCTACCATAACAATTCAGGATTGCCCCTCGAACAGTTGGACAAAAGCATTAGCGAGAAACTCAAGCCACAGAGAAAAAGGTTTAGTCCTAACCTCGAAAAGGAGCTTGTCGGCGAGCACATCAACCGCGAGCTGCTCATCTCCGAAGGAGTTGATGCAGGCCGTTCCTCCACAAGAAGCTGTCCTGACTTTGAAAGAGATGGTCCTGAGTGCTTCACCCATGCACACCAGCAACCTGATCAGCCCTTTATCTGGAGTAGCCTTGTTCAGGAATTCTTCCTACGCATGTATTCCATATCACACACACACACACTGAAGTCTGTCACAACAATCCAACCTCGCTCGGTAAACTTCCCAATTTCGTGAAGAGGATTAGTACTCACCAAGCTATCCCCTATCTCACATCTTGTTGTGAGAGAAGAGTTCTTTTCTTTGGAGGCCTTGAGGGACGACCTCGGCGGCGCCACTCGCAGCGATTCCCCGAATAGCGAGCTCGACTTCAAACTCTGCCATTCAATATTGTAGTTCATTTTATTCAGAGACACACCCTTTTAGGTCCATTCAATCATGAAAGCAAAGAGCAAACAAGAATCATCAGCAGCAAATTGTTGGACACGTTCATATGATGATATATCAGATACCTTGGAGGTGAAAGATGGAGACAACGAAGGTGGGGACACAAGGGAAGTGGAATGCTTGGTGGGAAGGAAAGCCCCACGTGCGTACCACGCGATGCCGGTCTCCATCTCTACGCCGGAGAGCCTTAGCTTCAGGTCTTGGTCTGGAGGAGAGAAGAGAAATCTGCAGAAGAAGAGAGAGCTCTGCTTGGGCTTGAGCTGGAGAGGCTCTTTGGTCTGAGACTGATTACTTTCAGCTGGTTAACGTTTTCTCTTGGGGCATGCAAGGCCAGAAGGAATGGGTGGGATTGTACCACAGAAGATAAGCAGTTCACCTTGAGCTGCCACGTGGCATTTCTCAGTTTTATTTATTTATGTATTCCTATAATTTTGGAAATGAAGGCGATATAGTAGGGGATGAAACATGGAAATCAACCACCATCGCTCATATTTATGTGGTTATGAACGGACGAGGAAGATATATATTGAGCCAGACCCTCCTGCATCAGTAAATCTTTCCTTCCTTCCTTCTCTTCTCAAGTCCTAAATTTGTATCTTGTGTTGGCAGGACTTAGCCATTTTCTAAACATCCGATAAAATCGAAATGATGCAAAATCGCATAATGCGACTAACTATCAACAAACAAAAACAACCTCGACCCTAAGAGAAAAAGAATCAAAGGGCATGTAATTGCGGATGATATTGTGATCTCGAGTGAGCAAATTTCGCATTTCACTTAATTATTGATTCAATTTGTCTTAAAGGGCTTTTGAGTTTTCTTCCTCTACTTGTTTTCCAGCATCAATTTAGGATCTATAACTATTGATGTGCCAAATGCTCCCAAGCCAAAAATAACGATATGGGCAATTGGGCTCTTCATAATTCCACCTAGCTATCCTTCGCTTTGATAAAGCTCTTGACCAATATCTATCTTGTTACAAAATAGCCAGTGAAGATTCTAACTTCTAGGACAGTCCATTGAGGCCACGGCTTAGTGACTGTTAAATCTCGGATTAAATCTGAGTTTATTAAAGTAACAGCGGACGGATTATGTCAGACTACTCATGAATTTAAACCTAATTAAGCCCGTTATCAAGACTTAATACCAGCTCATTAGTGCCGAATGAGCCGCGAAAAACAGCGCTCATTGTACCTCTTAACATGATCTTCAAGTTGTGATTGCGTTTGCTCATTATACTGGAGTTCTGATAGAAGTTCACTGGTCCTCCTCTGCTCTTTTGACCCTTAACAGAAACTCTGAACGCCGCCTTGGCCTTTTAGCTTGGTTTTGCTTTTGATCAGATGACCTCTTTGTCACGGTTAGCGAAAACTCAAATCGATCTCTTTCGCATCACGCCGCATCGAGCCGCAGTTCATCTTCAATCAAATTCAAAATGGGGGCCGCGATCTAATCACACGAGCACAAAGCGCCGCAAGGTTTTCATACGTCGCCTGTGCATACAACTCTTCTTCTACCTAAAGCTTCGCGGGGCATATGGTGATGCATAAATCTTCCCCGAGTCCCAAGTACACTTACTGAGTTCGAGCACTGCTATGAAGATTTCAATTCAACTCCACCCATTTCGAATTCAAGAAACCAGTAACAGTGGCGGCGCCATCGCGTTCGATTAAATTTGCAGAAAACTTCATGCTCTGAGCTAACAACAGAAGGAAAAGAACTAGATAATTCTCGGCATCGAAACAAAAAGAATTGGTCGATCAAGCAAGATCCAGATCACTCCACTCCTCTTCCAATCAACCACTGATGTCAAATCCTACTCTAACATGTCCAGACCCCCCAAAAAAGAACAAAAGAAGTACATCAGAATCAAAGATCATATCATAAGAACACAGGAACAATGATGCGGCGGAATCGGCGACTGCGGGTGCTAGACGATCAAAGCTTCAAACCCGAAATGTGGACGTGAACAATCATCTCCTCCTCCGAGAGTGACGGTGCTCGATTGAAGAGAAGAGCGAGAACGAAATCGAACCCCGTCGAAACGGAATCACCACGGAGAATTCGGTACATACCATATCAACCAGGCCAGAATCAGCAGCATCACCACGAACCCAATCAACAACTCCTCCGGCGACCCACAATAGCCGGCACAAGAGAACTGAACCTCATACTTCTCGCTGAAATTCGCATACAAAATCCCCCAGTTTCGCGCCCGAGCTTGGCTCGCCGTCCCTTTTGCTTCCTCGTCGACCAGCTCGTAAACGTAAGCCTCTGCAACACCTTCCTTCCTCAGCGGCGTCCCTTGCCCCGACCTCAAGTGCCCCAACAGGCCCTTCACGTACATTCCGGAGTAGAGCTCGTTGGCGTCGATCTCTGTTGCGTCGGGGCTCGAGCTCGGCCACCCTGTCTCAGCCACAATCACGGGGATGTTCTCGTGCCCGGCGACCGCCATCGCAGCGACCACCGCGTCGACCATCATGTCGAAGAGGTTTCGGTACCGGACCCCGGTCGTCAAGTCGTCCCGGTACATGAACGGGTGCTCCTGGAAAAGAGCGAACCCTAGGGGGATCTCGCAGCGAAGCCGGTAGAGATTGTAAGGGTAGATGTTCACCATGAAAGAAGAGTTGGTGTCCCTCAGGAAATCGAGCAGGGGCTTCATCACGGCCTCTGCGTAGGGCTCCTGGAACCGGGCCGCGGACGGCGGGAACGTGGTCGTCATCACGTTGATGAAGGAGAAGGTGGTGGAGACAGCGACGTCGCGGATGCCGAGGTCGCGGAGCGCGGATCGGAAGTTGCGGAGGGCGGGGACGAGGAGGCCGGCGTAGTTGGGGTGGGCGTCGAGGACGTTGCTGCCGACGGAGATGGCCGAGACCCGGGCGCGGGGGTAGAAGGGGACGACGTGGCGGTAGAGCCAGGAGAGGGCGGCGGAGCGGTTGGCGGCGAGGGAAGGGACGAGGGCGTTGGGGACGGAGAGGAGGAGGGAGGTGTTGGAGTAGAGGAAGGCCCGGAGGAGCTGCGGGGTGGGGTCCGGGAGGCGGACGGAGGGGATCTTGAGGGCGGAGACGGCGGCGGCGACGCGGTCGGGCGGGGGGAGGCCGGGAGGGGCGGCGGGGGAGGCGGAGGAGGAGTTGGAGGGGGAGTAGGTGACGCCGATGGCGGTGGGGGAAGGGAGGGCGGAGGGGAGGAGGGAGGGGAGGAGGAGGAGGAGGAGGAGGAGGGTGGTTTTAGGGGAGGGAGACATGGGGAGGAGAGGAGAGGTCTCTGTGCATCTAGAGAGAGAGAGAGAGAGAGAGATAGAGATAGAGAGAGAAAGAGAAGGGTTTAAGCAGAGGTTGAGGAAGACGAAGGAGAAGAAGATGATCGATCAGGGCGGTTGAATTTGGCGGGAGGATTCAGTTAGCAGCAGCAAAGACTCTCTCTGTCTCTCTCTCTCTCTCTCGCGCAGTCCAATGCAAACTTTGGGGTCGTCGGTCGTTATAACCGATTATTATTTGATTCTTTGCTCGCGCATTGCGCCCCCCCTCGCCACGTCAGCAGCCACATCAGCGGCGATGTTGGCCGCTGATGTGGCGAGCATTTTCCTTTCGCATCTATTTAAAATTATACACGCTGTCTCGAATCTAATTTTTTTAAAAAAAGATGTTGACGGGAAATTTCTTTGTGAGGTGGAGTTGTTCTGTGCGGCCTCGGACGAACCGCCATGGGTCGGTGACGTTGCTGGCTCTCCAGATCTGGCCGTCCATCGTCCATGGTCCTTTGTCCCATCCGTGGTCGTCGGTGTCGCTCGCGAACCTTGCCCTGCCATGGCCAGTGACGCTGCTGGCTCTCCGGATCTGGCCGTCCGTGGTCGCCGGTGCTGCCGAGAAGTTGTAAAAGATGTACCTTTCTCAAGAGTGTAAGAGACACGATGCGGCTTGCTATGTATATTGATTTAGAAAAATCGGCTTATGAAAGTGACGAGATGAACCGTGCGTCAAATTCAACTACTTTGACGAGAATCTGTCCCATTATCTTTCAAATCAAGTTTGTGAATCGGTATTTACGTGAATAGCATTATCCTCGTACGGTGTCGTCTAAATTTGTATAAAGCAAAAGAACCATATTATCCAACCGAAGCTGATTGAAAGACAGCCCAATGAGCGCACGTAATGAGATCTCGTTGATTCAGGACACAACAATAAGCTCAAGTGTTCAAGCCCAGCCCATCTTGGGAAACCTGTATTCGATTCCATCACCATCGATTCCATGAGAAAACAAGGAGTCTTGTCACTAGATTGCACTCCAAGGTATATCTGAAATGGCAAATCTGAACAACCCAAACATGTTGGCCAAGGTGGTGCACAATCTCAATCTCAATATCAATGAACCAGCTGCAGAGGAATACCGGCGCTTTCGTGACCCGATGAGATCAGTCGGGTGCTCCATGCTCTCACGCTCGAACGGCGTAAAAGAAACAACCGACGCGTGAATAGAATACCGGACGGATGAAAGATGATTTTTTATTGACAATGTGTCGTCCGAGTTCGCGTGTACAGACACGTGTTTGAACACATAACCAAGATGCAATCTGCCATGCTTCCCGAGTAACCGGACCATGCTTCTAATTTTTTTTTTTTAGCTGAACTTGACTTCGGGAAAAGTGAAATCGGTCTGATAGGTATGCGGCCCGTGAGTTAGATTTCCATGATGATCTTATAGATCAAAACGCGCAAATCACATTAATCGAATAGTCTTATAGATTTTCCTGTCTTGTTTTTAACACTCTACTGTCGCATCGGCTTCCTTGAAAGTCGCATGACGTCCATATGCCTAATTGCTTGAAATGGAAGCTTCCGAGCGATCTCCCTCATCGTGTCCTCATTGACTGCGAGAGCATGAAACAACTACACCCATCTGAAAATCCCGCATATAAGACTAGGTTTTATAGTTAAGGAAATCTCAGCTTTGATGAGGTTATTGTACCAGTGATCTGTACAAGGAAGCATTTGCTCTCAGTACCGAACTACATTATTTGCAGACGACTAAAGTAATGATATACCAAGTAGACTTTTTGCGTTGTATATGAGCTGGCCTTAACTCTTATAATGTAAAGATCGAATAGTTATCGCCTTCGCCTAATTATTTTAGCCATTAATGGGCTAATTATTGAGAGATTTAGCATGTGTACAGTTCTCCAAGTCCTTGTTCTGATCCAACCTGTGGTTTGGTAAAGCACCAGCTCCTCTTTCAGGTTCTATATGTCCAGGTACGAGATACAACCTGAGATATCATTTCTATGTGCTGCGAGTTTTGCTCATTGAACCGTACTTGACGGTGACACCTGTGACGGACTAATGACTCCTTCCTCGGATTAAGACTGTACCCTTTCAAACTCGAGTGACACACTCGACAGCTTGCGCTCAACTACCCATGCATTATGGCTTGTTGAATTCGATGTGTCTACTGGTACCATTTAGAATAAGTATTGATGGGGCGTAAACAGAGAGTTTAATTCGGTATAGAAATAGTTTACAGTTAATGTAGCGAACCAAGTCGATCGGAATGAGAAATGTTACCAGGCTCATGTCATATGTCATGTACTCTTGATGTGCTGCGACGTAAACACTAACTGATTTAGAGCATATGATCGATATAGTCTATCAGACTAAGCCCAGATGAAGCCCGTGGTAAAATAAGGGGGATTTTCCAATAATCTTCATATGACTATTTATCAGATAACTTTTTTTAACGTAGCAGACTTCATGGGTCGCCTATTGAGACCACAACTTGGAAAGTTGAACCAGCTGTATAAAGAACTACCCAGGTTGGGGCCTCAACTAGCACTCTCAAGCCTTTAAAAAGCTGTCAAGTTCCACAAGACCAGACAAGAGAGGAAGTTTGTCTGCAAGTTTTTCTGCTCTCTCACCAATGGCACTCAGGTCTGCTTCACTTTGCATGATCCTCCTGGTGATGGCATTGGTGAGCAGTGCTCAAGCGGATTCCCACTCGCCTGCACCGTCCCCTGGGCACGCCCACTCGCCAGCGCCATCCATGCACACTCCTGCACCAGCACCAGCTCCAGGACACAGTTCCGCTGCTGCTTTCACTCCTTCCTTCTTTGGCACCGCGTCATTCGCCTGCTTGGCTGCACTCCTACCGATCATGCTCTCTTCTTACCGCTACTAATTGTTTCCTCGGCATGTACGATTTCTCAGATTTGACATCGTGTTGTTGTATTCCATTCTTATGTGTAGAATCAGGGAAGTGATGATGGTGTTTGGTGCTTCCTTTGTGCGCATTACATATGTTGGATTTGTTTCTTGAGCTTCTCACATCCTAATAAATTCATTTTTCATTACACACATATATATGTGTATACATAGTCCCATTTTTTGTTACTTCTGTCTCAAGATTTCATGATGAATCAGATCATTTGTGAGGGTATTACTTGTTTTTGTTAAATAAGCTGAACCTTTTTTGGTTTGCCGTCGCTTATGTTGCACCAGTTGAAGAGCCAAAATGATAAAAGAAAACCTGAGATCTTAAGCTCACGAATGAAATAAACATTTTCAGACCGACGCACAAGAGCTTGTACTGCGCAAATTTCAGTGAGCTGTGACTTTTTAATTCAATGAGATTGTGAAAAGGACAAGGGAAGTGAATGATGTTACGCTTGAGCAGGGAGATCCTATTGAATGATGTTATGCACATTGTAGCTATTGTTTAATAGAAACAGCCTTTCAGTACGGAAGTAAAAGGGAACTGTCAAGATTTGCTGCAACTTTTCTTTCTTTAATGAAATTTACTCTAACCGAGGCAAATTAAGTAAATGACAATATGAAATTGTGAACTACTCTTGAAATATGTAGATCATTGCCCCTGTGGCCATTTAACATGGTATGATTTCCGGTACTATGAAAGACAAGACGGCTGATGATTTCACCAATTAGAGACCATCTAAAGGGTTATGGAATGATTCGGCACTTGTTTTGGATGAATGGAGAAACGCACAAAAGACACAAATTCCACTGATATTAACAATAGGGAGTGAAAGTTTGGACTTCAAGGACGACATGGGAATCGTGTAAAGTTTGTGGACCATTCAGTGCTAGTTCCTCTGTGAAAACTTCATTGTTTCCCTTCGATAGGACCGGAAGATGTCACACAGATAGAAAGCAGGCATTTGAGAGAAGCTGGTGGAGGCTGATACTGGAGACTTAATACAGTTGTCTAAATGATACTGGAGACTTATACAGTTGTCTAAATGTTTAGACTTATACAGGCATTTGAGACTGATACTGGAGGCATTTGAGAGAAGTTTCTGAGTCCTCTCATTGTACTTCTATATGCAGGAACCAAAAAAATCTACTGATTGAAACATACTTGGTGGAGGGCTTATGTGTTCTTGAAATCAGGGCTGAGATTTGTTCACCTAATCCACACTACACCACGTGATTTTAATCCTCAAGTCCCATCTGGCTTGAGTTGCAGATGCCAGGAGACAGTGTTTCATTTCAACATTTTCATCAACAAAAACTAACAACGATCCCATCTTCGTTGACCTCTTCAATAGTATTATATAAGCAATACCTGCACACAACATTAAGAGGAGTGCCACTAGGTAAAGGCTGAAGAATGACTTCTTTCTATTGACACCAAAAGAGTTGAGCAATATCCCTCACAAAGGCACTTTCGCACTCGAATGGGGCTGAGCCCCAACAGTCTACAAAATTTTTCCTACAATCTGTATTACATCTCCTACCTCTTTCTCACAGGACATATTACACTCAACATGAAGCACTAATTAAGCCTTGCCTTGTAAAATCATGGTTATTCACGCATAGCATGAGAAACTGTGAAGCTTACAGTTTTAGTTGACATTTTCTCAGTGTCTGTGAGAATGCTTTCTCCTTTTTCCCTGCTTCTCTTCTGTAAGACATTCAACACCAATGAAAGAAACCTACCATGGCCATGGCGTAGAAAACTCTGTAAGGAGCCAAGGCCAGACCAGAGAGAAAAGAATAAACCCAAGCGAACCGGTAGATGTAATAGATTTTCAATTCCCCACCAAGGATGCTTGACGAGGGAAAAGAGAAGAAAGTCGAGTCGGGCTTCGGATTCCAAGTACCATGAAGGATGACATAGAAGTAAAGAACTGAGTCAAGCAACCGTGGGAAGCTCTGACCTGTCCCAACCTCTGCAGGAAAAGGTCAAAGCATGAATCAAGATCCAGGAGCATTATAGTGTTTTTAAAATCTTTGGAGGCATTGCGGATATTACTGCCACCAGGCTGCAAGTGATGGGACAAACATGAGTGCCGCCAGAAGATGTAACATCAGCAAGCCATGCCGGTGATGGAAGAAGTCTAATTGCGCGTCTGCAGAACTTCTGGCTGATTCCGGACTACTAGAGTAGCTGTCTCC